AGTAGACGGAATTGATAAGAAGTCGTTGAGCATAGGTAGCTTTCTCCCAACATTAAACAACCTATTAAATAAGAGAAGTGACATAGCCAACACATTTATATCTCGTGTCCCTCTTTTGTCATTGTTTCTGCTAGTGATCAATAAAATTCGACCTATTAAGTGATAAGGAGGTGATTGATAATGCACGCTGGCTCTTCAAAGTGACCTTTTTCAAACGTTTGATATACAGGGAGTTGTTAATCATTGATACAATTTCTTTTCTCTGTCTGTCATGCGAGCACTGCAAACTATTCGCGTACGTCTTCAGAATATGATCCAGGATACACGGCGCGAGCATTTCACTTCGTTACTAATCGCTTGGTGGTTCGGTGTGGGTATACGTGTCATATTCAGTCCGAATCACTTCGTTGGCATCCATATAGGCAGACCCCTATGTCATTCACACTCCACGCTGAATGCAATTAGTTATTGTTAAGCTTGTGTCGAGGAAAACGAGCGCAGTTTAGTTTCCAGGTTTCTGTTGGTGGGCTCTGGAATTTGTATCCCTGAATGACGAACCGGTATCGCAAGATCGTACTCTCAGTGCGAACATCACGGGCAAACATTTTTCCTGACTAGCTCATGCAGCCATCTTCTGACTGTTAGAAATGGAAAACTCAACTTTCAATGACAGTTTCTTTGAGACGACAGAAGCACCTTTTCTTGTATATTCGTCCTACTCTATGAGGCAAATCATTGCCGCTATGTGCACCACTACAGCTATCGTAGGACTTATTGGTAATGCACTGGTCATTATAGCTGTTCGATTGTCCAAGAAACTCCGTACAGTCACCAACGTATTCGTTATCAACCTCAGCATCAGTGATTTGATATCATGCGTCTGTCTACCTTGGGAGGTGGTGGCTGTGTTGGGCGAAGATGGCTGGCCGCTCCCACAAGCCGAGTGGCTGTGTGCGGTGACAAGTATCTTCATCATTATCAGCACGGGATGTAGCGTGACGAACTTGGCCCTCATAGCTTTGAATCGATGGGTACGTATCACTAAGTCGCCAGTCCTTGCTCGTCGCATCTACACTCGTCGTAACATCATCTTCATGGTGATATTTTCCTGGCTAATGCCGCTGTGTGTTACGTTGATTCCCCCACTGACTGGTTTTGGTGAACTTGGCTACGAACCTCGCTATAGTAGCTGCTCCTGGGTCAAAGCAAACCCTTATTCCTCTCATCACAGCGTTATTGTGGGAGTTTTCTACTTTCCCATCCCACTCATCACGATCGGGTTCTGTTACGGCTCTATCTTCCGTTACGTGGTCAAGACTTCTCGCCGTATGGCTCAACATGAAGTCAACTCAGTCTCAGGCCTGGTAAGCGCCTCGGACTCGTCCATGCGTAAGAATCTATGGAAGAGACAGGTTAAAGTTACCAAAAACCTTGTGTATGTGGTTGCTGCGTTTGTGATTTGTTCGACTCTCTTCATCTTTCTTTTCTGCCGCTTGGATATGACTGGAGCATTCGAATGACTCCTTACGCAATCGCCATCGTGTACTTTAACTGTATCACTGATCCTATTATCTACGCGACGTCACATCCAGATTTCAAGGAAGCATTCGGCTATATGATTCGATGTCGATGGAAAGATATTCCTCAATCTAGCGCCAGTTCAAGGTTATCGAAATAGTAACCGAACAATGAAAGCACTGGTCTTTTTGGCATAGATACAAAGACATGGGTTGCAGATTTGCAGGCTTTAAATGTGGCTGATCCTTTTTAATGTTTTAGTGGAATTATATTTAAATAAAACTTTGTTAGAATGTTTAAGAGTTAGTGATACGGATGAAAGTCAAGAAACTAGCAGGTTTAGGCAAGTGTAATCGTTGTTCCTGTTTGATTGAATGAATTGTATGTTCTCCTGTTTGAAGTTTCATTTCATCTGCCTCTTACCACAATTGAAAATACTTCGAAACTTTATTTTTCAAATGTAATGCCTTGAGGTGGCCGTTGTCAATAGAAATAAAGTGACTTATTTCTTGTAGTTGAATAATATATTCGGAAATAGAGTGTGGACTGAAAAACGAACTAATGGCGTTCGTTTCTAGCGAAGTTAAACTACAGATCGTGTGCCAAATTAGAAACACTCGACAAAGAATTCGAGTTTAATTATTAACTTCAGTAAGAAGCATCATGGCACGTAAAATGCTGAGTTTGTGGCTCACTCTCTGTAAGTTTACCTAATTTGCAAAAATATAACTAAATAAAACGATCCTGTTATGAACGCAATAAATGGTGTCAACTGATTATATGCTAGTCTACGGATTCGATTGTTTAAAATGTTTTCACGAACATTATCTCCATATCAGGAAAGGCTGGCAGACGTGTCAAGTGCTTAATAAGAGTTGGTCCACCCTGGGATTTATGACGCGTATGCGCACACACCTTAATTCCGTTAGTGGTTAAATAACCAGAATACATCATCGAACCATTTCCCCTCTTTTATTCCCCTGCATTCATAACATTGGCTGAATTTGCAATTAAGCTGACGTCAATAGAGACATCGTACATCTAGCAAAGCGGGCCAATAATGATTCCTGCGACATTTCCCTTGTAGGTCAATTTGAATAAGCAAGACATATCGAAATCTTGTCAGGGGAAGCTGTTAATTTAATTGATCACTTTCCTCTTTCCCAGCCTTTGCCAATTAAGTGACCCCGAATAAATATGCCTTGAAAGGATTGATCAATACTGCCGATATATTTTCCTAATCTTTTTCCACTGCCACAATTCATCTATATAATTTGTGTCCAAAGTTCAACAACGATAGGTATAAATTGCTTGTGACAAAATTCGGTTGCTAGGTGATGGCTCGAAATCTTCAAGTGCTGTGATGCAACGTGTTCATCAATACATCAGAGGCGTAGCAAGGTCCTTTTTTTGGGGGGTGTTAAAAAGTTCTTGTAAAGGGCTCTCGTACACATTCGTGCTCAAATGTAGACAGGGTTTTTGCTCCAGAACGGGGGGGGGGGGGGCAGGTACCATCTTCCAATTAGAGTGCTATTCAAGCACACTATCGGACAATAGATGACGCTTTTTAGAGCGGCATCATTGTCGACGGCCGCGCGAAATGGACTTGATGTACTCGATGACGCTTTTCAGGACGGCATCATTGCCGACGGTCGCGCTAAATTACATATTGGTCATTCGTAAAAGGCTGTTGGTAAAAAAAGGTGCTCGTTAAATAGAAATAGCACTCTTCAAAAAAGTGGGGGTAAGCGCTGGTGAAAAAGGACACTTTAATGAAAAGGGTAGGGGTAGTCTTTACAGAATATTGCGGGGAAGAAACCCCCCTTACACCCCCCCCCCCGATGGCTACGCCTCTGTACACGACACGATTTACGTATTGATAATCATGTATGTGATCTCATGTGTTTTTTGCAATAAAAAAGGAGGAAGTATTGTTTGAGATCAACTCATTTTCCACTCAATAACATCTGAGTCTGCACTTTTTTAATTTTTATAAATAAAAACACCTTTAATGAAAAAACCCACCTTTTTATTAAATAAGTAAAGCCCTCTCTCATCACCAAGCCAAATTTAAAAAAGCGCCATCACACGTTCCTCTGTGAATCAATGTAACTTTTTAGATTACGGGACTTTTTTTTTGTGTGTTTTTTTGGCCTAGTCAGCACAATTTCCGTAGACCTACATTTGCATGCCATTCACATTTTCAATTCATAAACGTAAACCACGGCACTTATTTCAAGCTGTTGTCCACTTCAGTTTAAGATTTGTCAATGCAATGGCGCGGTCTATTGTGTGTTAATTCCTTGCGTGCGACAGTCGTGCGTGTGACATCCGTTGTTAACTCACTGTGTGACCTTCACTATTGTTACAAAAATCATATGTCAAACATATCCCGGTGCAGCAACTCATAATTTCAAGCTGTTACTGTTGTTTCGTTCAATAAAATATTACTTTTGTCTAACATTGCCGTTGTATAATGACATGATATCTGCATTATAAAAATGTGTGCTATTTAATTAAAGACATAAACTTACGTAAATCTGAAATGATGTCGTTAAGTAATCAATGGCCATAAGTTAGCCACAGAGTGGGCGCCTGCTGCTTCAGTAGTATCTTGGACTTCGTGGTGAAGGGATGGAAATTCTACAATTTCTTCTTTTGGTGTTTAACATTCTCTGTTACCATGCGATAGCGGCCAACAAGTGTGAGTTTTTATTTCTTATTTTAGAAATACAAAGCAAAATATAGATTCTTTTTAACAGTTTTAACATTAGAAGGAAATTATAAACAAATACCTTTTTAAAAGAAATTTATTTGTGAAAAGGACCGTCAATTAAATAAAGTATCGCATTATATATTTGAAATAGCTGTGCTGATTTTTGGTTCTGAAAGTCTGTCTGTTCTTTTGTCTTTTGGTTTGAGATTGTGTATTTTCAGCTGGATTTTGGTGCATTTGTGCTGGATTTAGGACTTAATTCTTTCCTCCCCAGAACCCATTTTTGTGATGATACGGTAACCAAAGACGAGTCAGTCCTGGTTCCTCGCCAGGATTTGACTATTCCTTGCCGAGAGCTGAGTCGATACCTAGGCCAAGGCTACCTGCTAGATGACAGTAAGGAAAAGGGGTGGATAAGGAAGATCCTGATGCAGAATGCCCGGTTTTTAAGTAAGTCCGAGCGAGATAAAATGAAGCAAGGTTTTTAATTCGAGATTTCCTCGTTGGTCATGCTGTGCGTGTTTACAGTGGGCTGAACTGCATGTGAGTTTCGGCAAACATTACAGGTGTATTGATAGTAATTTGGTCTGATTACTAATTATTTGTCCACTTTGCTTCTTTCAATAAATCAAGAAGTTAAAAGTTTGAACAACCTGTACTTATCTTCAGTTTTGATGATTGAATTCTGACCCACAGGCCCGCTGCTCGGAAAATCATCAAACGTGAGGAGACAGCGCGAAGAAAATGCTGCGATGGATGGGAAGGAATGCTCTGCGAACAGCGTAAGAATCACTGACACGGATTTTTATTTTTTTTGCTTTGAAGACCACACAACGTACTCAGTTGTAGGAGTTGAAAGGAAAAGTGAAAGAACTCATCCGTTTGGCTCTGTGGTCAAATAAAAATTATAAATTGACATTCGAGAAAACCTTTGCCACTGTCAAAATTTGGTTAACTACAATAAGAAAAAAAAATATACAGATATCTGAACTTTAATCTTTCCGTTTTTATTTGCACAGCAATTTGTACCATCGCTTGTAAGAACTCGGGATCCTGCGTGGCGCCAAACAAATGCGCATGCCCAGACGGGTTTAAGGGTGACCAATGCGAAGAACGTTCTGGTAAGACAATGGCCTGTAACTAATGACTATTATCAAAATCTGCGCTTATGTTGCCAGTGAATGCGTTAGGATCGCTTAATACATAAATATACAATGGTTAATTTCTTCGAGAATTATGTACGTATTTCTTTTTTACTAATTTTCAGTGATATTCAGACTCATTTTCTTAGACTTGGTTCTTTTTGTTATTAAATATCGTCATATATTAAAATACTAAACTTTTCTTTATATTTCTAGATGAAGAGGAGCCTATCCAGACAGATGATATGGCGAGGTATATGGGTGGTTTAAGATTTCCACCAGGCAAAACAATCTTAAACAAAACCATGTTCAAAATTAATAACATTGAAGTCCATTAGAGTAAGGGATAGAGTCATCTTAATGCAAGTCGTATGGTAACTCAAATAAAAAGGGCAGGTTGGAGAAACATTTCTTCTTAATCATTCATACTCAGCTTCAATATTTGATGTTTTAACAAAGGCTAAATGATTTCTTTGATCAGCAGCGGATTTTCGCCCTCGGTTCGCAACGTGCATGGTATGGAGCGCAGGTCATTACCGGACTTTTGACGGTCGACGATTCGATTTCGACGGCGCCTGCAAATACGTGCTGTCCGCTGATATAGGACAATCATGGAGTGTGCATGTCAGTAATTTGCATTGTCATACACCTGAAACTGCAAAAAGGTGAGCTGGAGGAATAACTTGCTTAATCATAAGGTATTAAAAGATTATATATAAAGAATCGAAATTGAATTCCAAAAATTTAGTTAAATAGTCAAGTATACAATGCTCCGAATTGTGATTTTGTCAGTAGTCTTGCTCATAAATATTGGTTAAAAAAATGAGTACTTTACTTGTTTCTATTTTCATTTTCAGCGTTTGACGTTCCAGCTTGATCAAGATACCTTGGAAGCTGAAGGGGGAATGATTGCATTCAATCGAAAAATCATCGAATCAGTTCCCTTTCAGACAAAAGGTAAATTGACGTATCGGTATAGTTTTAACTTTTTAATTACTTTTGCGAATCAATTGATATTGTTTCCATATCCTGTATGAGACTGGCAAACTCGTTTCCATTTTCTACTGCAGGCAACGCTCCCAACGCCTTGGGCAAGGCAATCACTCTAATAAATGCCGATGTGCTTTTCATGTCCAGGTATCTCGATTGAGAAGGAGGGTGATTTCTTCTACCTTGATTCTGGTTCTGGTTGGAGGAGTAAATTTGATAATGGATCAACCGTTTACGTCACACTAAATGAAGAGCTGATGGCGTCAACTGTTGGCTTGTGTGGAGACTACGATGGCAAACCAGATAGTGAGTCATTCAGGTTCCATTTCAAATGACAAAATGTCTTACTCAGTATTTAAATGTCGTAAAATAAAAATGTGTCTTAAAAACATGGGCAGAAAACGTATGTTGTGACGATAGATTTTATTATATAAAGATAATTCAGCAAACAAAATCGGACCAATGACAGACTTTCAATGAATGATATCAGTTGTTAATTTTCTGTAAAATTCAAAATGAAAGTAGTAACTTAAGTTTGTTAATGCTGTTTTTTGATTTTTTTTCACAGATGATTTGATGACCAAGAATAAAAGCATTGCAACCAACCCGATCGCCTTCGGACATAGCTGGACTTTGGAGGACGATCAGGTAAAAAACCTTAAAGATTTACAAAAAAAACAAACACAAGCTTTTGTTGATAGTAAGCCTATTTATTCATGTTACTTCCTTTAATTATATATTTAATGGATTCCAATTTTGACGAGTAACAACTCTATACTATTTCTTGGGAAATCGTCATTTATGTCCGAACATTTTATAATCATTATGGTATCGTTTCGGTGCGGTAACATGTGGTAATAACTACTGTTGATATTAGTTCTGAGAAGAACTTGTCCATTATCAACTTTTCTATATTTTTGTTCTGTTAGAACAGTCCTGCTGTAAAAAAAAAGCTTATTTTTCTTTACACTTGATCTCTATTAGGAATGTACGGAGAAAGCTACAATATGGAGTCATCCTTGTCAACGATACGAAAATCGTCTTGATGATGCTTTAAAGCATTGTGATCGAATGAGAGAGGAACCTTTCTCAGTCTGTAACCTACAGGTTGGTTCATGCTTGATTCTTGATCGAAACATGGATTATGTAGTTACTTGTTCTCTTGTTGTGTCTGCTGAATCAGGTTGTTTATTTCCTTGAATGTGTGTCATGTCTGTGCGGGCTGTTTCATGTTTTCTTCGTCCTTTTCTGCGTTGGACGGTCAGTTGATTGGTACTGGAATGGCGAAAATTTACCTTTTGCCCTGCATCGACAGATGCTACAAGCACGGAACACTCTCAGTGCTTTCTGGGTACTCGACAGAAAATTTCACGAGCTTGCTTGAGTGGGACTCGAACTAATGACTTCTGCTGGTTGGGAACTTGCTTGCTAAGATTGCTCCGCTGCTGAGTGAATCAATGCGTCAGTCAATAAGTCGATAAATGTGATTTGGTCGTTCGTCTCCTTGAGTTACGCTTGATTTACGCTGATTTACGCTTAGTCTGCTTGATGCTTGTTTATATTATTGAATCATTTTACCAATTCCCATTTTTAATCATTTTTTTTTTAAATAATTTCAGGTCGATCCCAGCCTGTACCACGATGCATGCCTGTATGATCTTTGCCTGCACGATCCAGACAACCAGGCCGTTCTGTGTTCATCTTTAGAAGCGTACGTTCGTGAATGTGCCAGTCTTGGAATTGCGGTCGATTGGAGACAAGATGGTTTTTGTGGTGAGTAGAAATCGCTAAGCACTGGTTGGACACAGAGTAACTAGATTGTGCTTTTCATAATTCATACTCGCATGATCTGAGATCGTTCCACCAAAATCCCGTTCTTTTCGAGAATTTTTTTTACGACGAGCAACTACCACTTTTCAATCTTGTTTCAGCAAAATCGTGTCCGGTGGTCAGATCTACAAAGACTGTGGGTCAGCGTGTCCGAAGACCTGCGCGTCCCTCAACTACGGACATGACATGGACTGTCCGGACACTTGCGTCTGTGGCTGTCAATGCCCGGATGACTTATACATGGATATCGGGGGAGATAGGTGCGTCACGGCTGAGGAGTGCTCGTGTGTAGTCAATAGGAGAATATATCACCCGGGAGATATCATCAAGAAAGACTGCAATACATGGTAAGATGTATAAACTGTTTCTATTATACCTTCGCCTGCATCAGATGCTGGAGAAATGTGAGATGGCTACATGTTTTATCTCTAACTCTTTCAGCACCTGGAAAGGAGGTCGCTGGGATTGCACTCACGAGGTCTGTGATGCTACCTGTTACGTCATCGGAGCATCCCACGTCATCACCTTCGATAAACATGAATATTCATTCCACGGCATGTGCGGATACACCTTGGTTGAGGTAAGACTGAAACCTTAACCATCCCTGATGGCCGATCCATTAAGGCCAATTCACTGTCACACTACATATTCAAGGCGCGCGCGTCATACGCAAATGCGCGCAATTCCTTCTCTTGCAGGACACTAACCACGACTGTGATTGGTCATAAATTATGGAGTGTTCAATTGATTGGTAAATTCTCAATCTTTGGACATCTCAATTATAATGAATGAGCTGCACTCTTATTTTCTCGGTATTCTTTCTACAGGAAGCCAAAGGCAAGTTCACCATCGTAGCTGAGTTTGCCGACTGCGGTAGTGATGGATCTGTTTCCTGCGTTAGTTACCTCAAGATAACTGTCGGTAGAACCACGGCACAACTCCACCGGAATCACGAGGTTCAGATAGATGGAGACATAGTGATTTTGCCTTACCATTCAGCAGAGTTTAACATCATTCGAGCGTCTTCGGTCTTCGTAGTGTTTGAGAGCGCAGGGTTCCGTGTGATGTGGGATGGCTCGATGAGTGTGGAGATGACATTGGAAGCGGATTACAAATATGAGGTGATGTATAAACTATAAAAAATGTCGCAAGATATTGACTTGAACTAGAACAAGATTATCAAGCGCTACTGCTGAAGATATTGCCAGGTGTAGTTTTAATACATTACTTGCCTTCATTGCTAGTCCCTTCCAACTTAAGGCGCGATCTTAAGTACATTTTTAGACAAGGTCTTTAATATAAGGAGTTTGTAAAGAGTTAATAGTTTAGGAGGACTTTTTCAATTTGTCGGAACTTTTGGAAATTTGGATCATATTTTATGAGCAGGTTTGAAATATTTTTCTCACCTACTGCAGGTTGTTGGCTTGTGTGGCTCATTTGACTATAATCAGGAGAATGACTTCGCCACACGCAGCGGAGACATCGAATCAGACCCATACGTCTTTATCAGCAGCTACAAAGTGACCCAAACTGTGAGGACTTAGACGAGTCTAACGCCTTTGACTCTTGTGGAATCAACTCCCAGAATGCACCGCGGGCTGAGCGCCTCTGCGCGTCGCTTCGCGATAACGTATTTGCAGAGTGTGCTTACGTCATGGAGGATGAGTTCTATCGTGAGAGCTGCTTGGCCGATGTTTGTGGGTGTGACAACAAGGAGGCGTGTCTGTGCAGCGTGGTCCAATCATATGCTAGACAGTGCGCCCTCAACGGTCAAGTTGTTGACAACTGGAGGAACATTTCCTCACTCTCTGGTAGTTGCGGTAAGATAATCATGATTGTACATGAAAGGTGTCTAAATTTACTCACCCATCATTTTTTTTTCCTAATAACTCACATGATCAATCTGTCTACACAAAATTAATTTTTATTTATATATCTTTTTAGAAATCATCTGTCCCACTGGTCAAGTTTTCAGTGAGTGCGGCTCAGCTTGTGGTCAAACCTGTGGTGACCACGCCTACGGTGACCATTGCTCGGACCATGAATGCTTACCGGGATGCAGTTGCCCTGACAACCAAGTCTCGAATAAGCACCATGTCTGCGTGGATGTGTCTAGCTGTGAGTGTGTTCATCTTGGCAAGATGTATCAAGCAGGCGAGGTGATTCAGATGCCGTGTCAGACATGGTGAGAACGGACATAATTTATTAATCACTCAGGACTTTAAGCCAAGGAGATCCCTGTGAAATTTCCATTTTTAGTTTCTTGTTTCTTCTGAATTTGGGGAAGCAGCATCCCAAGCAGACACGTTTATGCAAATCATTTTTATTTGAAGTCAACCATAGAAAATGTTTTGGCTAGTTTATAAGACTACGCAAGTTGTTTTCAATATGGCGTGGTTAATATCGTAAGGCACAGTCACTTGTATTACTATATATGCCCTCGTCCTTAAATTCTATCTTGACAACTCCCTTCCCGGTGGCAGCGTTTGTACCAATGCTTCGGTCGACTGTGAGATGCTACCTAATTGTACCACTACCTTAGAGTGTCCGAACAACATGGTGTTTTCTGAGCGCGCGTCGCAATGTGAACTCACCTGTAGTAACTTCAACAGCATGATGTTGTGTCCCCCTCAGACAACGCCAGGGTGTACGTGTCCGGAAGGACTTTTGCTAAATGTAAGTCACATTTTACAACAGACCTGTTTTGTCCTTTGCAGCAGTAACATTTTGCCAAAAGATACCGATTTGGGGAAGTAGCTACTGAGTTACCATACAGATTTGTAAGCCTGCCAATATCTTGCCTGTGTGTGAACTTCCAATCTAATCTTTCTGCCAAACTCTCATCTCTCTCATCATTTTCTTTGAACTACATTTCTCATTTTTCAAGGGTAATGTCTGTGTCGAACGTAGTGACTGTCCCTGCACACACAATGGAGTATCATATGAGACTGGAGCCAGCATAATCAATGATTGTAATCACTGGTAAGTCGATGGGGGACAAGTCTTGGGATTTAAAAAAATCGTGTCCGCACTGACAGGATTCTTATTTTTCTAACTTCGAGTTTTCCTTATCTGATTGCAGCATCTGTCGCAACAGAACTTGGCACTGCACATCACATTCATGCCCAGGTAGGAGATTGCCAAACTCTCTTCTTTAGCGGTTTCATGTCAATCCGTCTCTCTGTCTGCTTGCCTGGTTGTTTCTCGTTAATTATTATTTATTATCTATTTCTTGTCAACTAGCAACCTGCATGGCAGTCGGGGATGCTCACTACTCCACCTATGACAGCAAGTCATACTCCTTCCCAGGGCAATGTCGCTACATCCTCACCAAGGAGATTTACGGAACGTTCCTCGTCACCACGCAGAATGTTCCGTGCGGCACTGAGGGCGTAACGTGCACCAAATGCGTCCACGTTCAGATCAAGAGCGTGCTGATCAAGCTCCTGCGTGGACGCGCTGTGATCGTGAATGAGAACCCAGTGAATCTTCCCAAAGTTTACAACGAGATTACGATCTTAAAGAGCGGGATCTTCACCATAATACGATGGGATGACAAGCTTGAGGTTCGCTGGGATGGAGGTTAGTTGTCACATTTACTTCTCATGCATGTTCTATAGGTATACAGTGTTTTTGCAGTGGTCGGTATATCACTAGTTCGCAGATGTTGCAAATACCCGTTGTATTTTCCAATATATTTCTAAATATTTTTCCACGTGATAATCTCAGCTGAAAATAGTTATTTTAAAAATAAGTGAACGGAAATTGCATAAACGTAACGAAGAAGGTTTATCACTAGTTATTAAATTAGGTAAGAAGACATACACAGACTCAGACGCAAAGTTTCGTCGAAGCGATTTGTCATTCTGTTTTACTTGTGAATTTCATCTTAATAAAATGACCTTCTTCAATTGTGTCTTCATTTTAAAGCCACTCGTGTGTACATCAAGGTCTCTCCGCATTTCGCCGGTAGTTTGGTCGGTCTATGTGGTAACTTCGATAATAATGCTGAGAATGATTTCACCAGTCGGTATGGTATGAAGGAAGCACGGGCAGATACGTTCGGTAATAGCTGGAAGGATATTCCTACGTGCGCTGATGTAGACAGTAAGAAACATCAAGATCAATGTGAGGTAAGATTGATTGAGAGCTAAAGTATTGGACCTTAACCGTGTGGATTACATTCATGATTGATGTCTTCAAATAATCTAAATAATGTATTATTGTTGCACTGTACCAATAGCTACAGATTGTGTCAAACATTTGGTACAGTTTCCTGAAATGCTCAATATTATCACAGGTGCACTGCAGACAGCAGCATTTCCATCATTTATCATTTGTTTCAGTTGAATCCCAACCGTCTCACCTGGTCTAAGAAGCGATGCAACATCTTGAGAAATGAGAAGTTCCATCCGTGTCATGAAGTTGTTAACCCAGAGATGTATATGAAATGGTGTGAATATGATACATGCGGGTAAGCATCCATACATAATAGTCCAAATATTCTAGCAGGTTTCTATCAAAATGGTTCATATTTTGTTGAGATTTAGGGTTGCCAATGGAAGAGTGTTTATCAAGACGTAAAATAATTTTAATGCTGCTGTGAGGTGTTTCAATAAAAACATTTCCTTGTTTCAACTTCAGATGTAATTCCGAGTACGACTGCGAGTGCCTGTGCACCGCACTGGCAGCCTACGGGGAAGAGTGCAACAGACACGGCGTTCATATCCACTGGCGATCTGAGGATTTGTGCCGTAAGTCTAATCTGCAATTTTGAAATAATGAGAATTTTCGCGTCACGGTTAAACGACACAAATTATCACCTTAAAAAAGTTCCTGGCCACGCAATTTATGTAACAAATATTACTACAAAGTACGATACTCATTTAGTAGCCTACTACTGTTTTTTTTCCAAACCTTATAAAAATAATAACTTTCAAAATACAATCTAACCTTACGTTTCAAATTTTCCGCCGCAGCCATGCAGTGTGACTATGGCTACGTTTACAAAGCTTGTGGACCTATTTGCCCTGTAACCTGTGACTCTCTGAGTGAAGAGATCCATTGCGACTTCTGTAAGGGCTGCGTGGAAGGTTGTCACTGTCCAAACGGTACCGTAGAGCACGGTAAGTTACAGACTAACAAAGGGTCAACAACCTAGCTTTCGATACCCGAATCAGCAGAACACTGGAAGTTCAGGTTAAATGTGTTGGGAATTCATAGCTTTAGGGACCTATTGAAGAAAATATCCAAGTTGAGTTTGTCAAATTACTGCAGAACCGATCATTAGAGCAAATTATTGATGCTCGTTAGGCGTGCATTTTCAGCATCCGGCTAAAACGCTGGTCTCATAATCCCATAACCCTTTTACCTTGAAAGCTCAGAAGATTATTATTGAGCTGCATTATTGTCCGTGAATTTCGGTGCTGCAACTCGGTTATTATTTTTGTTTCCTTATTTTTCTCTTCAGATGGTAGGTGTATTTCTGCTCGTGACTGCACCTGTAAACATAACGGTGTGCGATATCAACCGGGTAACAGGATCACCATTGACTGCAAAAACTGGTAAAGCTAAAAAAACAAATATTTTCTTTATAATATATAAAGTCGAGTGAGGGCGGTATTAAATCAAGACAAGAACATGTTTTTGAAGGAGCCTAGGCCTTATTTCAGTTTATCACTAGGTCTTAATGTCCGTTTATGTTCATCAAATGGTGAACTTAGATCTGAATTGTATTTGTGCCAATCTTTGTTGTTATCTGAATTTGATTTTCACAGTGTCTGTGAGAACGGCAAGTTTACGTGTATTGGTCAACAATGCTCTGGTAAGCAACATTATTATTATTATTATTAAATAGAAGAAAGGCGATGATGAGATAAAAATTAACTAACGAGGGAGTTGAAAAGAGTTCTGCTTTGGTTTCAAATTTCAGACATGTTTTCGGTGATATATCAAACGGTTGAGACAACTCTGTGACATAAGATTCATTTTTCCGCTACCGAAACAAAAGATAATGCACTGCTGTAGTTTCAATGTTTAATCTTATGACTTATTGGTCTGTCTAATTCCAATTTGGGGGTAATTTTTACTATTTTGTCAAGGTGTGAGAAAGGCTTGTAAGTTGGATGAGTTTGAGTGCACCAATGGACGCTGTATTCCCGACGATTGGACGTGTGACACAGCGGACGATTGCGGGGATGGTTCAGATGAAATCAACTGTAGTAAGTTGCAGTGTTGGAACTGTGTAGCACTGAGGGCACTTTTCAAGAGGTGTTGAATTGCCAGCACTCTTTATTTCAATGGTGTAAAGTTGACCTATGTGTTTGTAAAATCAACTATTTTAAATTATAAAAGACTTTCAATAGAACAATAGAAGTTGCAGAACATGTGTCTAGTTCTTTCAAAATTTACGGCTGAGTGTTGAAGATTTACAAAGATGCTAAATAAACGATGTGTTATTTGTTTTTAGCAATCAAATGTTGTCCTGACCAATTCACCTGTGCCAATGGACAGTGCATTGAAAGAGTTTTCCTGTGTGACCGGGTACCAGACTGTGTTGATCATTCTGATGAATATAGCTGTCGTAAGTTTTCCTTTTTCGTCTTATTTACTTTATAACAAAACAAAAACATAGAAGGGGTTGAGTTCTTATCTTGTTATTGAAAGATTTTTTTTCGGTCAAGTGTGGATTTGGAAGCAGGGTTTACATAGTTAAGAAATGAAGAAGCTGTTCTCACTAAACTCGGAACTGGTAGCAAAAAAGCAACTGTTGTGAAACCCTTACCTTGTCACCAATTCATGATATTTCTAGAACAAAAATTAGAAAACTGTCTTGAAAATGACCTGCGTGTTTGCGTCTTTTTGTGTAGCGTCACCTCAGTGCAAGATGGATGAGTTTCAATGTAGGCAAGGTCATTGCATTCCGATCCATTATCGATGTGATGGGGTGTTTGATTGCGGTTTCAACGACACTACGGATGAAGATGGTTGCAGTAAGTATAATGGGATGTGGCCTACTTCCTCCATTTGAGGAGTGTTAATGAATGTTGACATTGTAGACTAAAAGCTTTCCAATAATATACGATTCAATATTTGAGTTGGTTTAGTGTCCTTGCCTTACCTCACGATACACGAACGAAGTACAATCAATGAAGTAATAAGGAAGACACCTGTATGACTTCTTATGACAGTTGTTATACTTTTGTTCATTCCGGATAGCCCCTGCTTACATTTTTCCTTTAACTTCATGTCTAAAGATTTAAAACAAAATATATAAATAAATAATAAATAAATAAATAAATATTTTTGAAGTTCGGAACAGCTATATAAAACAAAGTATTGAACAAAGTCTCCTCCAAATAGTTGTGAAGTATTCTGAATCAAACTGCATATCCTTTTCATTAATAGCGCCGGGACCAAAATGTGGTGTACGTGAATTCCAGTGTCGCATCAGTGGCATGTGTCTATCATTGATTCATCAATGTGACGGACATGATGATTGTGGAGATGGCAGCGATGAATCCAGTTGTGACGGTAAGATGATACAGAGAGAACATGTCATCGTTCCCAAGAAATATAAGATAATATGTCAGGTGTGATTTTGTTTTAAGGAAAAGGGTAAGAGAAATGGGCGTTCTTAGACATTCCTTGATCGTGTCTTAGGATGTCATCAGTAACAGCTAAATGTACTTCACAAACCTTTGGCTATTGAACATCAACAATTGACTTCCGGCTATCTCAGTCCAAAATTGTGAAAGATGTAAACATGTTCATCGAAAATCTGGTGGATGTTCTCAAGAAGTAGGTGGTGGAGAGTTCCGTTGGCGTGCTCGATAAGAAAGCACTCCACACATTCCAATTTCTGCCAACTGCTCAGCTTTTACCAAACATGTGACAGGCGTTGTCTTTTGTAATAGACACATGCCTCACATACACAGTGAGGTATCCATGTATTACAATAACTTGGTTCATAGTTATACATTCACTCCCCCCCCCCCCCCCACAGGTTGTAGCTGTCAGAGTAACTTCACCTGTACCGACATATGTCAGTGTATTCCTGTCAGCCAAGTTTGTGATGGTTTTCCACAGTGTGATGATGGTTCAGATGAGTCTGGTGTCTTGTGTGAATGTAAGTAAGATGAATTTATATTCATTCGGGTTTTTTTGTAGAACATGAAGAGCCAACATTAAATCAAATGTTTGAGTTACTCTTTCTGTTGGGAAACTGTCGAGGGCGCACACCAATCAAATTTGTCTATCAGCAAGATCGAGAGAGAACTATCGCTAACCGTGGTACGACTGTCTTTGCAAAACCTACTTTCGCTAGTCTATTCAATCAATTTCAATCAACCTACAGCCAATCCAAGAAGTGTCATATATTAGCTTTGACCATGATATGACAAGAAGCATGTTATCAATGCACAGTCATAATTATATCGCAGTATTATTAACTACTAGTCGACCATGATCGGTCTATCAAACTTGCTCTTTAATGCGCCCGTGTGATGTTTATTGGCTGTAAAGTATACTGTCTTTAGATTATATAAGATGAAGGCAACGACAGTGACTTTTCCAGATTTCTTCTTACTTGCGACTTGTCTATGTTTTTTTTGGCAGCTTGCAAGTATCACCTGTGTGATTCTGGAGAATGCATCACATTTGACAAGTTGTGTAATGATGTGCATGATTGCAAGAACGGGGAAGATGAAAGAAACTGCCAACTCTCAAGTGAGAAATTCAAAATGTTCAAAACCGTTACAGTATACAAATATTGACTGCTTCGAGTGGTGTAGTAAAACTAGCCACCCGAGGTGATCCATGAAGCATTGGAAAAAAAAAACCTCCATGGATCACCGAGGGAAGAAAGTTTACAACACCACGAGGTGAATCAGTCAATATTTGTTTTATAACACCTGTCCCACATATTCTGCTTGAGTAAGCGATAAATGATTAATTTAATCTAAATACAATGAAAGTGTAATTCATTTGAAAACGAATTAGTTGAAATCTTTTTGCAATTTTCCAAACTACCCTCTTCACGAAATTGTTGAACCCCGTTCTGTAGCGCTAGCGCTCGGGAACACTACGCGCAACACGCACCCCCTTATGATTTTCACACAATACCGGTTCTTATGCATAGTACTCTGTTGCTACGGGTATAGTACTTTGGTTACTACGGGTGTAGTCTTTTTGCCGTGCACAGCAAGATAGCAAAATTAGTGAATGCCGTCTGACTCGCTCTCGGCCAATCAAGGCACAGAATCTGTGAGTGAGGTGTTATAATAAAACTTAGACTAATTTCTTAATTTCTTTAGGAGTACTGCATAATCCTACGCCCATTGTAATACTAGAAGCAACAAAACGTGCACGTGTATGCCCTATACATGTATTCTTCTTGTAACAATTAACTCTTAAGTTACCTCAGCAGAAGTCGTCAGAAAAGGTTGATTTCATTTGATTCCTTTTAGCTCCAGAGCCTGGATGTTCAGAGTTCACATGTAACAACGGCAGGTGTATCCCTGAGCTCTATGTTTGTGATCGTAGTGATGACTGTGGTGATGGCTCAGATGAAGACCAATGTAAGTAGATCTATACGCCTCTAGATTCCATTTAAGGTCCAAGTCTATCAAAAGACCCTTCAAAGCAGATTTTCAAAATGAAAATGTCCAACTAATTCCAAAATCTATCTTTTATAACTCATTCTTCGTTACTTTTGCAGCCTAACCCTAGTTACGCCGCTGATTAAAATTATAGCAGGCTTGACCTGAACCAATTTGCCTCCAAGGGACTCCATGCACCCGTAACACTTTCAAGCCCCCCCCCCCCCCTACCCTCCCGCCATTCAGACTCTGCGCCTACAATGGTGTTAGAAAGGGGACATAAAAACGAAAAGTGGAATGTATATTTGTCTTTTTTTTTTACAGGTGAAATGGAGGTACTTCCAACAACTTCAGGTACACACTACTTCTTTGTTGTGTCAGAAAAAGCGATTTGATAAGAACTAATTGTTGGGGAAATAAAACAAAAACATTGTGTCTGTAATAACTCAAAGTGTCGAAATTTGATTTTTACAAAACATGAAAACATGAAGCTGACAGTCATTATGCCAAGGAGGCAACGATAGCAGGGAACCTTTGTGACTTTCAAGACCGAATAGGAATTTGACGAACAAATTCATGTTGTGTCTGATTGAAAACCCTTCGATATCGTAAACAATGTCATGTGCCTATCAAATAAACACAAGGAACATCCAGTGTGTTACTGGCTATTCTTCCATTCAAATTTGTGGCTGCATTTTCAATCCAGGGTTTACTTCAGCCACGCCTGCAAGAGGTGAATTACACTCAACAGTACCAACCGAGGAAGCATCGACACAGACTTACAAAATTCCTTCTTCTGCGTTGTCAACAAACGGTAGAATCAACATTCTGTATTCTAAACAGCCCCCAGAGCGAAACAAATTTCGTTCAAGAATTTCGAAGCTAAAATTGAAAACAAAAATTAATTTTAAATGCAAAACTTACGCGACAGACATTTACATTACGACTATCAATCTCCTTAATTTTTTTATGATCTCTCTTGGTTTTCTATACGACCTAAGCCATTATCATCATTTAATTAAAGATGTATTTCTGTACCTACCTACTAAAATTGCTGTGTTAAAATCTAATTGATTTCGAAATATGTGTTAACACGGCAGCTCCTGCGAGCGATCAGCCGCTGACCGTTCCCATTAAACTGTCAGAAACCCAGACAACAAAGGTGATTTCCAAAGTAACAGAGAGCACCACTGGTGCTGTCACAACATCCAAAAATAAAATCTAGTCATGATTGTGTGAATCCTGATATGCTGGGTCAGCTGATCGACGAAGCTTGGTTAATGATAAATTAACCTTCTTTTATTTCCTCAGGAACTCAGACAACCAGGGTTGATTCCACCGTGAGAGAACGCACCACTGGTGCCGTCACAACAACCGAAGAAGTCAAAACTACCACCGTTACAACTGCTGCCGGGCAAGAGCTGACCACTGTAAGCACATCGGTGCCACTTGAGTCCACAACTCCAGGCTACTGCCTAGAACCGATGGACGAACAGGTCGGGCTGGAAGTAGAACAAACAACAGAGGGAGAGGCCACTATTGATGAGACCACGGGAACCTGGAATGTACCAGCGCCCGTAACGGAGGACAGAAAAAAGACACCAAAGCTTCTGACCAAGTTTTCTCAGCGATCAGTGGTCAACGGAATTAGGCTGACCAACGTGGCAAATGCCGATGGTGTTGCTCCTGTTGAGCCTGTGGTGTTGAGTATTATAGTCTCCTACAAGAATCCTGAAGACGAGGATTTCATTGAAGTAGCTGAGGAGAAGACAAGTCAACCGGTAAGTTGTATTATTTTCAGGCAAGTCTGGGATTTTGTCCTGGATTCATGATTTGACATACAAAAATTGGCAGTTGCTGCGATGAGTCACCGTGATCACTTTTCTTTGTCACTTTACAGATTGTGACTGTGACTCTAGAGCCTGAAGTAGCCCAGACTTATCTCTTGCCTGAAGATGCATCCCTAGATGATGTGACCAGCATTCGTCTGGAAGTAGTGGGAATAAGCGGGGCCAAGTCAACCAGCCTGGATGTTGACATTTTAGGCTGCGTTAAAGGTAGGTGGCATTTTGACTTGTCAGGACAAGGAGAGATTTGACAGAGAATTTGCCACAGCTAAAATATTGAGGTTTTTTGGATTGACTGAATCTTCTTGTGTGTTTATCCCAGTACTTTCCACGGGAGTGCCGGCGAGAGACCAGCCGCAGACCGTGCCAACTAAAGTCAAAGTGACCACGACCACTGTTGTGACTTCTCCCCTTGGAACAACCACTGAGGAGACAACTACGGTCAAAGCATCATCACCTGCCGCATCGACAACAGCAGGTAAGATTTTTTTCATGATTGTGTGAATCCTGATATGCTGGGTCAGCTGACGAAGCTTGGTTAATGATAAATTAACTTCTTCTTTATTTCCTCAGAAACTCAGACAACCAGGGTTGTTTCCACCGTGACAGAGAACACTACTGGTGCCGTCACAACAACGGAAGAAGTCAAAACTACCACCGTCACAACTGCTGCCGGGCAAGAGCTGACCACTGTAAGCACATCGGTGCCACTTGTGTCCACAACTCCAGGCTACTGCCTAGAACCGATGGACGAACAGGTCGGGCTGGAAGTAGAACAAACAACAGAGGGAAAGGCCACTATTGATGAGACCGCGGGAACCTGGAATGTACCAGCGCCCGTAACGGAGGACAGAGAAAAGACACCAAAGCTTCTGACCACGTTTTCTCAGCGATCAGTGGTCAACGGAATTAGGCTGACCAACGTGGCAAACGCCGATGGTGTTGCTCCTGTTGAAGCCTGTGGTGTTGAGTATTATAGTCTCCTACAAGAATCCTGAAGACGAGGATTTCATTGAAGTAGCTGAGGAGAAGACAAGTCAACCGGTAAGTTGTATTATTTTCGGGTAAGTCTGGGATTTTGTCCTGGATTCATGATTTGACAAAAAAAAAAATGGCTGTTGCTGCGATGAGTCACCGTGATCACATTTCTCTGTCACTTTACAGATTGTGACTGTGATTCTAGAGCCTGAAAGTAGCCCAGACTTATCTCTTGCCTGAAGATGCATCCCTAGATGATGTGACCAGCATTCGTCTGGAAGTAGTGGGAATAAGCGGGGCAAAGTCAACCAGCCTGGATGTTGACATTTTAGGCTGCGTTAAAGGTAGGTGGCATTTTGACTTGTCAGGACAAAGAGAGATTTGACAGAGAATTTGCCACAGCTAAAATATTGAGATTTTTTGGATTGACTGAATCTTCTTGTGTGTTTATCCCAGTACTTTCCACGGGAGTGCCGGCAAGAGACCAGCCGCAGACCGTGCCAACTAAAGTCAAAGTGACCACGACCACTCTTGTGACTTCTCCCCTTGGAACAACCACTGAGGAGACAACTACGGTCAAAGCATCATCACCTGCCGCATCGACAACAGCAGGTAAGACTTTTTTCTTGATTGTGTGAATCCTGATATGCTGGGTCAGCTGATGAAGCTTGGTTAATGATAAATTAACCTTCTTTTATTTCCTCAGAAACTCAGACAACCAGGGTTGTTTCCACCGTGACAGAGAGCACTACTGGTGCTGTCACAGCAACGGAAGAAGTCAAAACTACCACCGTCACAACTGCTGCCGGGCAAGAGCTGACCTCTGTAAGCACATCGGTGCCACTTGTGTCCACAACTCCAGGCTACTGCCTAGAACCGATGGACGAACAGGTCGGGCTGGAAGTAGAACAAACAACAGAGGGAAAGGCCACTATTGATGAGACCGCGGGAACCTGGAATGTACCAGCGCCCGTAACGGAGGACAGAGAAAAGACACCAAAGCTTCTGACCACGTTTTCTCAGCGATCAGTGGTCAACGGAATTAGGCTGACCAACGTGGCAAACGCCGATGGTGTTGCTCCTGTTGAGCCTGTGGTGTTGAGTATTATAGTCTCCTACAAGAATCCTGAAGACGAGGATTTCATTGAAGTAGCTGAGGAGAAGACAAGTCAACCGGTAAGTTGTATTGCTTTCACGTCAACTGGGATTTGTTTCCTGGATTCATGATTTAACATAAAAAAAGTTGGCGCTTGGTGCAATGAGTGACCAAGTTCACTTCTCTGTCACTTAAACAGATTGTGACTGTGATTCTAGAGCCTGAAGTAGCCCAGACTTATCTCTTGCCTGAAGATGCATCCCCCGATGATGTGACCAGCATTCGTCTGGAAGTAGTGGGAATAAGCGGGGCCAAGTCAACCAGCCTGGATGTTGACATTTTAGGCTGCGTTAAAGGTAGGTGGCATTTTGACTTGTCAGGACAAAGAGAGATTTGACAGAGAATTTGCCACAGCTAAAATATTGAGGTTTTTTGGATTGACTGAATCTTCTTGTGTGTTTATCCCAGTACTTTCCACGGGAGTGCCGGCGAGAGACCAGCCGCAGACCGTGCCAACTAAAGTCAAAGTGACCACGACCACTCTTGTGACTTCTCCCCTTGGAACAACCACTGAGGAAACAACTACGGTCAAAGCATCATCACCTGCCGCATCGACAACAGCAGGTAAGACTTTTTTCTTGATTGTGTGAATCCTGATATACTGGTCAGCTGACGAAGCTTGGTTAATGATAATTAACCTTCTTTATTTCCTCAGAAACTCAGACCACCAGGGTTGTTTCCACTGTGACAGAGAGCACTACTGGTGCCGTCACAACAACGGAAGAAGTCAAAACTACCACCGTCACAACTGCTGCCGGGCAAGAGCTGACCACTGTAAGCACATCGGTGCCACTTGTGTCCACAACTCCAGGCTACTGCCTAGAACCGATGGACAACGGGTCGGGCTGGAAGTAGAACAAACAACAGAGGGAGAGGCCACTATTGATGAGACCGCGGGAACCTGGAATGTACCAGCGCCCGTAACGGAGGACAGAGAAAAGACACCAAAGCTTCTGACCACGTTTTCTCAGCGATCAGTGGTCAACGGAATTAGGCTGACCAACGTGGCAAACGCCGATGGTGTTGCTCCTGTTGAGCCTGTGGTGTTGAGTATTATAGTCTCCTACAAGAATCCTGAAGACGAGGATTTCATTGAAGTAGCTGAGGAGAAGAGTCAAGTTTATTAAGTAGTAGTATTCAGACACAGTCTGTTGTATTATTTTCACGTAAGTCTGGGATTTTGTCTGGATTCATGATTTGACAAAAAAATTGCAGTTGCTGCGATGAGTCACCGTGATCACTTTTCTCTGTCACTTTACAGATTGTGACTGTGACTCTAGAGCCTGAAGTAGCCCAGACTTATCTCTTGCCTGAAGATGCATCCCTAGATGATGTGACTAGCATTCGTCTGGAAGTAGTGGGAATAAGCGGGGCCAAGTCAACCAGCCTGGATGTTGACATTTTAGGCTGCGTTAAAGGTAGGTGACATTTTGACTTGTCAGGACAAAGAGAGATTTGACAGAGAATTTGCCACAGCTAAAATATTGAGTTTTTTTGGATTGACTGAATCTTCTTGTGTGTTTATCCCAGTACTTTCCACAGGAGTGCCGGCGAGAGACCAGCCGCAGACCGTGCCAACTAAAGTCAAAGTGACCACGACCACTCTTGTGACTTCTCCCCTTGGAACAACCACTGAGGAGACAACTACGGTCAAAGCATCATCACCTGCCGCATCGACAACAGCAGGTAAGACTTTTTTCTTGATTGTGTGAGTCCTGATATGCTGGGTCAGCTGACGAAGCTTGGTTAATGATAAATTAACCTTCTTTTATTTCCTCAGAAACTCAGACAACCAGGGTTGTTTCCACCGTGACAGAGAGCACTACTGGTGCCGTCACAACAACGGAAGAAGTCAAAACTACCACCGTCACAACTGCTGCCGGGCAAGAGCTGACCACTGTAAGCACATCGGTGCCACTTGTGTCCACAACTCCAGGCTACTGCCTAGAACCGATGGACGAACAGGTCGGGCTGGAAGTAGAACAAACAACAGAGGGAAAGGCCACTATTGATGAGACCGCGGGAACCTGGAATGTACCAGCGCCCGTAACGGAGGACAGAGAAAAGACACCAAAGCTTCTGACCACGTTTTCTCAGCGATCAGTGGTCAACGGAATTAGGCTGACCAACGTGGCAAACGCCGATGGTGTTGCTCCTGTTGAGCCTGTGGTGTTGAGTATTATAGTCTCCTACAAGAATCCTGAAGACGAGGATTTCATTGAAGTAGCTGAGGAGAAGACAAGTCAACCGGTAAGTTGTATTATTTTCACGTTAGTTTGGGATTTTGTCCTGGATTCATGATTTGACGAAAAAAAATGGCAGTTGCTGCGATGAGTCACCGTGATCACTTTTCTCTGTCACTT